TGACCCTGCAGTTTCACCAGCACAACTTGTCAAGAGAAAGGAATTGTAATCAACAATCCCCCAAATAAAAACTGGCCATTCACTTCAATGTGGAGCTTCGTTGTGCGCAAATTAGCTGCTGAGTTTGTCTTCAAAATACACAGTCACTACACCTTAAAGTGTATCCTGTGAAGCACGTTGAGGCATCCCCCAGATGCAAAAGACCCAATACCAAATGTAAAGAATACTTTATTTCATTTACACATTTGAAGAAAGTAGCATGTCGGAGCCAGTGTTGGCAGTATCCATGAATGCACAGACATCTCAAGCTGTTTTGGCTTTTTTCCCTTTCTATTGTCGTAGTTCCAGTCACCCTCTGGTGTCTCACACAAGTGACAATTACTATATCAGTGAGTGAGTGGTGGCAGGTTATTGACCATATGGAGATGCCACAGCACCGTTAAGAGCTGATCCCTCGCTCAGCTGTTCACACACTTCCCAAGAAGGGACAGGATGATTGGGGCGAGAGGGGAACAGTTATATTACTGACCTAGAAACGCGTTCCGGCTTTAATCCCAGAGACACAAACGAAAGAGGGTCAGTATTCTGAAGGGAATGCTCACATTCACCTGCATTGTTTTGCAAATACAGATTTGCACCAGGTATTTTACTGTCTTTATGCCCTGCGAGCAACTTCATTTTGCATTAATATGCTTTTTCGCTGGTTACATGTGTAAAGATGATGGCATTCCTTCCTGTCAGATATTAACTTCATCGGTTGCTGACTGTAAATTAATAGTCATGATCATTGCCACAGTAGGTGCCATTTGCATATATTTCTGCATTATTGATGCCAATTCCTGGTTATCTCCATCTCATAGAGTAGAATCCCATCATAACATTGTTCATTATAATGCAGATTCACTTATAGCGCGATTGATGTGTGGAATCCCATTCATACAACAATAACAACAACAGGATTACATTTGAAAAGCGCCTTTCACAGCAGGAGGACATCCCAAGGCGCTGGACAGAGAACAGCATTTCAGACCCAGCTGGGGTTGGGGGGATAAGGGAGGGGAGGGGAAGTAGGGTGGCCAATGGCATGGTCAAAGAGGAGGGTCTTGAGGCAGGACTTGAAGGAGGCGAAGGAGGGGGCGAGACAGAGTGATTGGGGGATGGAATTCGAGAGGTTGTGGGCAGAGTGGCTGAAGGCTCTCCCACCAATGGTGGGGCGGGTAGGTCGGGGGACGTGGAGCAGGCCAGAGCCGGCTGAGCGGAGGGAACGGGCGGGTTGGTAGGGGCTTAGGAGGTCGCAGAGGTAGAGTGGGGCGAGGCCGTGGAGGGGCTTTGCATGTGAGGACAAGGATCTTGAACTGGATCCTCTGAAGGATAGGGAGCCAGTGGAGTCGGGCGAGAGTGGGGGAGATGGGGTCACGGAGTTTGGTCCTGGAGTTGAGGGTGGAAGTAGAAAGATAAGAGTTGGGTGTCATCCGCACAGTTGACCCCATGTCTGCGGATGATAATAATAATTATAATAAAATTATATATATAAAATAATAAAATTATATATATAAATAATAATATATAATAATAAAATAATTATGTCACTAAGGGGGAGCATGTAGATATTAAAGAGGAGAGGGCCAAGGACAGAGCCCTGGGGGACCCCAGATGTGACAGTGCGGGGGCTGGAGGAGAAACCGTTGGAGGTAACAAAGTGGAGACGGTGAGAGAGATAGGAATCGAACCAGGCAAGGGCAGGTCCGCGAAGTTAAGTAAAGAGGAGAGGCGGTGCATGAGGATGGAGTGGTCGACAGTGTCGAAGGCGGCAGAGAGGTCGAGGAGGACAAGGAGGCAGAGGGAGCCCTGATCACAGATGTTCAGAATGTCATTAGTGACTTTGACCAGCGCATAGAGACAGTCAGCTGGCAACTTCACATGTGCCAGCCAGCTCCTGCACTACAGGTGGCAACCTCTGGGTCATTAGGTCACCACTGAGATTACTTCCTGAATGCTGCAGTGACCTAATGATCTGAAAGTTGGCCATTTTTTTAAACACTAAAAAATGTCAGTCTTCCAGGTAATAGGATTGCCCCTGTCGCTTCCTGAGTAAACGACAGGAAGTCACAATGGCATTGAGCTGGAAATCAGCTATGTTTTGTTAAAGACAAGGGAGCCAGCCAGTATGCAGGAAGTGAGCCTGCTGGCTATTCCACCGCCTTGGGACGTCCTCCCGACGTGAAAGACGCTATACAAATGTCATTTTGTTTTGTTTTTATAGCATATGCAGGGAAAACAGCTATCACAGCTCTGTTATAACTGCTACTGGAATTTTATGACCTTTGATCAAATGGGGGCTTCACGATATTTTGAAACTTGATCTCTGCGGCTGATTTCAATTCCAGAATTAAATGTCAAGCAAAAAACAAAACTTTGCAAATCCTTCCATCTCCCCTTTTGCAAACCTTAATGGGGAGACATTTCTTGGAAGTAAGAATAAAGTGAGTCTTTTCATACCACTAAATCAGTATTTTAGATTGTGCCTTTGTCAGACGGTGTGTAAAAATTATTCCGCCTCACTCGAACTGTTTTGTCAATATTTGGGTTCGTAACACCAAGTGTTGCTAGAGTAGTCTGGCAGAGGAGGTAAAACAATACACCTGTGTCCCCACATTCAGACACAAAAATGTAAGAAAACTCAGAACAATAAACTATCACTCAGCCAATCAAAGCTACACTAAACAAAAAAAAACAACAAGTTACATTTCTACAGCACCTTTCACGTCGGGAGGACTGGATCTAAATGATCCTCATGTGGGCTTCTCCTTCTCTATCTCTGAGACAAAAGCTTTCCAGAGACGCATCTTAAATTTCCAAATCCTCAACAACAAAACAACAACTTGCACTTACATAGCGCCCTCCATGCAGGGCAGTGTCTCAGAGTGCTTAACAGTGGCAGAGCCTGTCTCCTAGCCGGGGGGAATGGGCAGGTGGCCGTAAGCACAGTCAAAGAGGAAAGTTTTCCAGTGGGACTTGAAAGAGGTGAGAGGTTGAGGGCTTGAGGGAGCGCGTTCCAGAGTTTCGGGGCATAGTGGCTGAAAGCGTGACCTCCGATGGTTGGGTGTGAGAGATGAGCAGGAGACCGGTGCCAGTCGAGCTGTGGTGGATTGGGGAGTGAGGAGGTCGAAGAGATAGGGAGTGAATGGATTTGAACCCGAGTGTGAGGATCCTGAAGTTGATCTGTTCGGTGATGGGGAACCAGTGGAGTCTGGCCAGAACTGGTGAGATTTGGGTACGGAGTTTGGTCTGAGTCACTATGCGGGCGGCAGAGTTTTGAATGACCTGGATTTTTTGAATAGTGGAGCTGGGGAGACCAGCGAGGAGTGCATTGGAGTAATCCAGGCTGGAGGTGACAAACGCATGCACATGGGTTTTGGCTGCATTTGGGGTAAGGTAGGGTTGGAGGCGGGCAATGTGGCGGAGGTGGAAGAAGGCGGTACTGGTCAGGGACCGGATGTGGGGGAAGAAGGACAGCTGGGAGTCGAACCAGACGCCTCGGTTGTGCACTGGATCGGTGAGTCTGAGGGAGAGCCCAGGGAGGTTGAGGAGTTTAGATCCGCAGGAGTGAAGACATTAACAGAAGCCAAGGAGTATGGCTTCTGTCTTGTCCACATTCAGCTGCAGGAAGTTTACGCTCATCCAGGCCCTGATGTCTGCCAGACAAGCTGATAGAACATCAGCAGACCTGGAATTGGTACTGGAGGAGGCAAAGTAGATTTGTGTGCAATCCGCATCTATGTGGAAATCTACTATGTGTCTGCGGAAGACATCGCCCAGAGGGAGCACATAGGTAAGGAAAGGAAGGGCGCCAAGGATGGAGCCCTGGGGTACCCTGTAGGTGACCAGGAGCGAGAGATGAAACCATTTGCTGAGATGAAATGGAGGTGGTTGGTTAAGTAGGACTTGAAACCATGCGAGTGCGGTTCCACTAAGTTGGATGAGGGAGGAGAGCCGATGGAGGAGGATGGCATGGTCGACCGTGTCAAACACGGCAAAGAGATCCAGGAAGACAAGGAGGCAGAGGGAACCCTGGTCACAGATGGAGAGAATGTTCACTTGTGACTTTGACAAGTGCTGTCTCTGTGCTGTGGGCAGGGCGAAAACCAGACTGCAGGGGCTCGAGGAGGGAGTGGAGGGAGAGGTTTGACCAAAGTTGACCTGCAGCAATGCATTCCAGGACTTTGGCAAGGAAAGGTAGGTTGGAGATGGGACGGGAGTGTGAGAAATCAGAAGGATCCAGGGTGGGTGTTTTGAGCAGGGGTATGATGACAGTGGTTTTCAGGGGGAGTGGAACAGAGCCTGAGGAGAGAGTCTGGTTGACTGTGTCGGCCAGCATGGGGGAAGAGGAGGGGGAGTTGAGTGACCAGCAGCTGGATGGGATGGGGATCGAGGTAGCCAGTGGTGAACTTCATCCATTGATTGTGGTTGTCAGGGAGGAGGAAGAAATGAGGGCAAAGGAATGTAAGAAGAAGGGAGTGGCAGGAGCCTTGTCAGAGGGAGAAAGAGGTGTGGATGGTCTGGGTGAGATGGAAGGAGACATGGGTGGGGGAACGATGCAGCCAAGCGGATGTTTTAAATTTTTTGAGGCAAAGAAGTCTAGGACCTCTTCGCACTTGGCGTTTGACGTAAGGATAGAGGGGGCTTGAGGGGGTGCACAGATGAGGTGATGGACGGTGGAAAATCTTTGGATTGTTTGGATCAAGTAACCAATCCAGAATAGTCATCCACCCTCACCTCTCTATTCAACCATAGCACCGGGGGTAATCACCACATCAAATAAGGTATTTGCACTCAATATTCCAATATGGAATCACCAATGATCCACAGAAGGTCTGAATACCTGATTTTGAATGTAGTCAAATGCCTCCAAGATGCAACCAAGTATTGGATTAATTTGATGTTCAGAGAACAACATGGATTAACAACTGATGAGAAGCTGAACAGTCACTTACCATTCGAGTCGTGTGCTTGTTTGAGCCAAGATGAGATCAACAATGGTGTCAGTGCCAGATATCAAAATCAAATTCTCCCTTCCAAAGATTTGGTGTCCTCTGTATTGGCTACTTCTGGAGAGGAAACATTCCACTTCAGTGGATGGGACATTTTTATTCCAACCGCACCTTCTATAAAAACCTGTGTGTGTAAAAGAAATAGGAATAATCAAACCGGATGTCTACGGTCTATCTTGAAAATCTGGTTTTAGGAACTTCCAGTCTTTAGTGACCTCATCACTGCTTGAATACAGCATCTCATTGGTGCCGGGCACTCAGCATCATTCAGATGGACTCACAAGCTCATAATTCTGGATGATGGGATGATATTTCACAATAGATTCATTTATTAAGGGAGTTTCTCCCTGTGTCCTGGCAAATAATCCCCCAGATAAAATTGGTCATTCACTTCCTAGCTGTTTGTAGGACATTGTTGTGCACAGAATGGCTCCTGTGTTTGCCGAAAAAAATGACCTGTGAAGCGCTTTAAAACATTTCAACGTTACAAGCGCCTTATCAAATGCAAGGATTATTAATGGTCACTAGAATCTGTTATGAGTCATCACAATTAGGTCATCTATTCCTAACGGCTGGCTGTCGTTCTCCCTCCACCCCCCACGACCTCAGTACAATGGTTGAACCTGAAGATTTCAGGACTGCCACTGCTGTTTTTGATCGACTCTGTCATTTGAATGTTTTAATGCAATTGAATGGGTTATATTATGATCTTAACACAATAAGGATCTGGTGCAGTGGCAGTTTAGCACTGGCTCTGAGGTTGGGGAGGTCACAAGCAGACATTGAATGTGGTGTCAGTGAAGCTCTTGGAATCATTTTTGGGTACAATCATTGTGTCGAAGTCAGTGGAGGGGTTCACACCAACATTAGTCTTTGCGGAAAAATGGAAAGATCAAAATGTCTCGCAAAAGATTCCACAACACATGAAATCTCTGGTGATTTTTCACCCCTACAGATTCATTAATCTTCATCTCCCACAGTTGATCTGCTATTACTAAAAAACAAAACTTCATTTTTGTTAAATTCCCGCAACCTCTAGACAGAAGTCAGTGATTCTCTGGATCATGAGGAATGTGGAATCTTTCTGTTTCCCGCGTGTCATATGGTACATTCTCAGTATCAGTGCTCGAGACCGAAGAGTTTCAAAAACTGAAGAAATTCCCACAAAAGGGAACCAAGAGGGAATGCTTCATGCTCACAGACTCCCTGGGATTTTACAACTTTAGCAGTTGTGAGTCATTTAGGATCTTTGAGAAATCAGTTGATATGCAGCTACATTCCCCTTGTCATTCTACCCAGTGGGCTAAAAGAGTTGGGCTTTTTACTACGACAGTATTATGTGTCAAAATTGCACACAAGGGGAGGGTAATTCACCTGGTTCTAGATTCACTCTATTTGCTTAAAAACATCGATTTGCTTAATATTTCAGAGAGTTCAGAATTTGTCAACTTGTTATCATTTAATCTTGAAAGAAGTTACAGAAAATCTGCTTCAAAATTCAGACTGTATTTAAGAACGTGCAAATTTCTGGTCACTCTGAAATATGAAGAAAAATCAAGCAAATCAAGCCTAAAGTGGATTTTTTTACTCCGGGTTGAACTCATGCTACTTTTAGAAATACAGCTTTAATCTTCTATCATGTTTCAATGTTAAGTATTTAAAAATTATGGGATTTATTTTGTAGAAACAGAGTATTTAATCACAGTGCTCTGTTATTAAGATGCAATCTTGAATTCATTTGATAGCAAAAATATTACTGTGTAGGATCCTCAAGACGGCGCAGGAGATCAAAGCATTGTATGATGTAGTCCTGAGCCAGACCAGGAAGGTCCTGGCTTCAATCTCTGGACTGTGCTACGGTAGCTGATCTCAATCACGCTGGTGTGGAAATAATAACCACACAACCATATGCGTCACACTGAGCTGACCAACAGCGTCTCCCACTCCAACCTGTGCAGAAGGAGATCACCCGAGCGTGAAGTTCCTACAGGTCACAGCCAGTGAGGCACATCTAGCTCTGAATCCAGGTTGTGAAGACCGCATTTTAGGTTCTACCAGGGTGCTCGAACAGATCACTACCAACAAAACTGGAAGTGATCTGTCTCTAGCACACTTCACCTCCCCCCAAACCCATCCTTACCCTCAGGCATTTTCGGACACTAAATATAGAGTCAATTCACTTTACAGCATATTCTGTGAATGCTTTGAGACATGATAAGGCACTCTTCCAAATACAAGGATTATTATTATTACTGGAGGTCGGATCAGACCTAGAATTGGCCAAACCATGACATCTAACATGCACTACAGCTGGAATCAGTTCTGCAGAAACCAGACGCACCTCAATGCCAATGGTTCGGCTGCATTCTGTTACCACTTGAGCGAGGACTCCACTGTGAATCTCCCTCCCCTAACTTCCCCTTCTTCCCCCATCCTCCCCACCACCACCACCACCACGACCACCGCATTGCACCTGCTGCATCCTCATATTCTACCCTTCTCATTTCCTCTCTATCGTGTATTATAATAGCTGGTGTGGTTCTGTCTCCATCAGAGCATGCCCCACTCGAAGTTTAAGACAAAAGTTGCAACAAAAATTTTTGACTACATGTTTGTGAAACGCAATACACAACAAGCAGGCAGACATCAGTGTAGATCTACCCCAACAATACTGCATTTATAAGCATTGAAGTGGCTGAGAGATGTAAGATGATCTACCGAGGTTAAATTGTGCAATGTAGCCCATTTACAGTCAGAGTCGGGGGGAAGCTAGCACAAAAGGACCTGAGAGTAAGCTACATCACTGGTGGGCAACAACAACAAATTGCATTGTATAAATATCCCAAGGCGCCGTACAGTCCAGGGTTTGCACCCAAGCTGGGGGTTGCAATCAAGAATGGTGGGGGTCAAGGGGGATGAGGCTGGGAGGATGAACAAAGGCATAGACAAAGAGGAAGGTCTTGAGACAGGAGTTGAAGGAGGCAAGAAAGGGGGTGAGGTGAAGGGAATCCGGGATGTAGTTCGAGAGTAGGGGGCAGAAAGGCTGAAGGAGCAGCCAGTGCGGGAGGCTTGGAGTAGGCAAGTGCCCATTGGACAGGTTGGTAAGATTTTAGTAGGTCTCAAAGAGAGGGAGGAGCAAGACCGTGGAGGGCTTTAAAAGTGAGGACAAGGATCTGAAACTTGAATCTCTGGGGGATGGGGATTTATATTGCTGCCATGAAGGGTGCAATCTTTTGAAACATCAGAATATTAAGATCAGTTCAGATGAAAAAGGCCTTTCGACCCATTTAAGTTCATCCTTTCAGAATGCCCTTCCCTACCACCCTGCGCTTGCAGCATCAAGCTGTTTCTTAAATGAGTCCTTGCCCTGGCCTCAACCAGCCTTCCTTCTAACCTCTTCCATATGTTAATTGCTCTCAATGAAACTGGCCATTGTGAAATACCACCTTGTTAAAATGGGTCTCTGGAGTCAGCAACACTTTGCATTACCTGCAGCCGAAACCAATACCAGACATTGGCAGCAGTGCCCCAAGGTAAATGCAAGACGCATGTATCCAGCATTTGCGGCAACAGTTCTGCTAATCCCCCGACGCTGATTTGATCGCCCTGAGCCTGGATTATGGCAATGGAAGACAGGTAAAACAGATGGAGGCAGACAGACAGGAGCTGTTGACAACATGATCTCCCGAGTCTGAACCTGAAGGGGTTGTTAAACAAAATAACGTGTCATTTTACGTGCCAAATTTTAGACTTTACGCATCAATGTGAAAACCAGTTCCAATCATATTACCTTCACTATGAATAGGGAGCATGCTGTGATTGAAATGGGTTTTTCACATGAGTACACAAAGTGTGATTTTTTAGCACGTAAAATTACATACCATTATGTTAATAGCGCTTTTTCCACTTCAGGCTTGGGATACAGTTAAAAGCCCTGGATCATCCCACGCAGATGATGGAGAAACAGTACAGAGCAATTATAGTAATAGCTTGGAACAGCCTTGCTTACAGAAAATAGAAAAGTGCTAATAGAAAAGTGCAGCCGTAATTTTTCCACGGATTTCGTTACAAGCAACCCACTCTGTGACAAACAACCCCTTCCGCCACAAACACCTCGCTCCACTACAAATACCTCAGTCCGCTACAAACACCTTCCTCTGCTACAAACAACCCTCTCCGCCACAAACACCTCCCTCTGCTACAAACATCCCACTCATAGGAACATAGGAATTAGGTGCAGGAGTAGGCCATTCGACCCCTCGAGCCTGTCCCGCCATTCAATAAGATCATGTCTGATCTTCTAACTTAACTCCATCTGCCTGCCTTATCCCCATATCCCTTAATCCCTCTATCCTTTAGAAATCTATCAATCTCAGTCTTGAATATGTTCAAGGACTGAGAATCTACAGCCTTCTGGGGTAGAGAATTCCATAAATTCACCACCCACTGAGTGAAGAAGTGTTTCCTCAACTCTGTTTGCAAAGGCTGACCCTTAAGACTGTGACCCCTAGTTATAGATTCTCCTACCAGGGGAAACAGTCTCACACTGTCTACTCTGTCAAGCCCCATAAGAATCTTATATGTTTCTATAAGATCACCCCTAATTCTTTCTTATTCTAGAGAATATAGGCCCAGTTTACTCAACCTATCCTCATAGGTCAAGCCCCTCATCCTAGGAACTAACCTAGTGAATCTACGCTGCACCCGCTCTAAGGCGAGTATGTCCTTTAAACTCCACTACAAACACTCACCTCGCTACGAACACCTCCCTCTGCTACAAACACCCCCCTCATTACAAACACACTCCTCCTCAACAAACACCTCCCTTCGCTACAAACACCCCCCTCACTACAAACACCCCCCTCACTACAAACACACTCCTCCTCAACAAACACCTCCCTTTGCTACAAACACCCCCCTCACTACAAACACCCCCCTCTGCTACAAACAATCCCTTTCACCACAAACACCTCCCTCTACTACAAACAATCCCCTCTGCCGCAAGGCAGTATAAAAATGCAAGTTTATTCTTTCTTTACCATCTACAATTTCAATAAAAATGAGTTGTTGGTTTGTTGGTTTCAATTGATTCTACTTCAAATGCAGTCGGTCTCGGGCTGTTTA